TAAATGCATGACGTGAGGACTTTTAGTTAAGGGAGAATGCAACGAGTCGCTATATACTGCAGCCACAGCGCCAAGGGCGTCAGTTTGTTTTCAGAATTGCTGGGGACAATAACCATACACTTGAGTGGGGTTTAAAAATTACTGGGGACAATAAAGTAGGCTAGCACAGGGGTCGGCAGCTCTGTAGCCGCATGCGGCTCTTCCATCCATCTGATGCGGCTCTGTGCTTGTAAAATAATGAATGGATATTTAAATAAAATGCTTTATATTTTACTGCATTAATTTTACATCTGTATGCTAATTCTAAATGTAAAGATTGTCTGCGTAAACCTGAACAGGTCCAACCCGGTCTTACTGTGAGACCGGGTTGACGCGTCACGCAGGATGTGAGATTCTGGGCTTCTCCTCAGACAAGCTCCTGGATGCGTCGCCACATTGGAGACAGGAACAAGCACTATTCAGCCAAAGTTTCATAATCAGGTGTGGCAGTGTGTGTGTCCTGTCACAGTGTCTCGATAGATAATGCGCCCTGGCTACTAGGCCAAGGGGATGTTCCTTTGGCTGACTGGTTAGAGCGTATGACTCTCACCCGGGAGTCTGGGGATCGAATCCCGCCCGGGCCCTCGTTTCTCCACCTTGCCACATATTGACGGATAAAGTCAAGGATGTTGGTTGTTTTGAAAGAATTACCCCGATGCACACTGATGCGCATGGATGAACTGACATTTTAATCGTTACGCACATCGCAGAGGTAACTTGATTCCCATCAGAACATCAGAGCTTTATACTGGACACTTTGTTCAGCGCGGCTCGGAGCGCCCACGGTGGACAGTGGGCTGAAGATCTGCAGAGGGGTTCGTAGCGCAATGCAGAACCACGGTGCATGCGATAAGATTTCCTCCCACTGAAGCGTTCTGGAAACCCAGTCTCTCTGAGGGATGTGTCACTTGGAAAAATGTTCTTTTTATGAAATTATGAAACTTTGGCTGAACAGCGCTTGTTCCCGTCTCTAATATGGAGACGCATGACGCAACCAGTCTGAGGCAGAATAGCTCTTCAGCTCAGAAAGCACCTGTAGAGACATTTGATCACGCACAAAGTTTATGTGGAGCAGAAGCGGTCGGGCCACGGCAGGTGAAATGTTCCTAGTCTACATGAAGTCAAACTGTTTAATTGTAACATTAATATGTTGCTGGACACGCTGGTCTGGTTGGTTAGACCAGTGTTTGAAGTGGAAAACACACACACACACACACACACACACACACACACACACACACACACACACACACACACCAATTAAAATAATGCTGATAGCGTGGACTAGAAGACAGGTGATGGTTTATGTATTTAAATGATGATCAGGCTGCTGTAAAATGTAATCTCCATCCACATCCAGACACAATTATCCTCTATCCTGTCTCTAGTTGCTCTGCTCTTGTCTGGGATGACGTAGCTGATGGAGTGCGCGGCGCGCCTAACTAGCGGCTGATGCACATTTTACGCATTTGGAGAGATGGGCTGGATGCTTTGCTTTTACTGGAAGATGGTCCACTTAACGCACGGGTGTAGACTACATATTAATGACAAATGAATGAAAATTAAACTGGGAGTTTTTACTTCATATTTTAGAAATTAAAATGATGGGGGAACACATTTATGACGTCTTTTTAAACGAAAATTTCTAGCGCGACCTGCCTGCTTCACTTAAGTCGCATATTAAGGTCCGTCCAAAATTACCGTGGCCCACCCAAAAATGAAAACCTGGCGCCGCGCCGAGCCTATTATAACCTCTGCAAATTGTTGTTCTTCACTTTATCAAACTCAGACTTTGTACAGCTAATGTCAAGATGTAAAATTATGAATTCAGTCGAGCTCTTCCGTCCCTCCCTCTCCTGGAAACCCGACATCGGCTGTCAGAAGCGGGAGGTGAAGAAGGAGATGAGGCAAACAGAGTGAGTGCGACATAGAGAAACCAGACTGGTGTGGAGGTGAGCAAATCAGAAGGAAAAGTGTGGGTGTTGAATCCCCCACGGGTACGACACCCATGCGAGCGACCGGAACCGGCTGCTGTCACCTGGTTGTGAGCAGCTCTCTGCTGTCTGAGGGTAGGCCCCGCCCACAACGCCACGGCCGCTGTGGCTCCCAGTGTTTTCTTTACTGTGGGAAACGGGTAATAATGGCTCTTTGATGGGAACAGGTTGCCGACCCCTGGCTGAGCTGGTAAAACAAAAATCCTCATCAGCAGGTATTTTTTAAAGTGGGGGGGACACAGCTGCCAATAACAAATTTTGCCGGGGACATGTCCCCGGCGTCCCCGGTTAAAATGACGCCAATGCGCAGCGCCCTCTGCCAGCATTTAAACCGTGTCACAGACACCCTGTTGCTGGATGAAGCATCTTATTTGTTGATGATGAAGAGAAACATACAATTAGTTCCTTGTCATTGACTTGTTTACTTATTCAATGCCATTTATACTTGAACATTTGGATTTGATTACATAGTGTAGTAGTTATTTTAGTAATTTGTTTAAAGTGGCTATTTATTTTAAATACATATTTCTTAAGGTTGACTTGTACAGTGCTCAAGTCAAGTGTGGACTGGAGTTTTAGATTTTCATTTTGATAATGAAGAAAACAAGTATATGAGAAAACAAGTGGTGTTTCTTTGATTTGCTTACATATTGTTTATGTTTTGAATGTTTGGATTTGTATAATTTAAACCTGCACTGACTACTGTAACATGTTCCAGAAAAAGAAGCTATTTGTTCCTTTACTTGTGAAAAGTTGCACTTTTGCTAAGGCTTTGTGTTATTTTAGGTTTAATAAACACTGTTAAACCTTTTCAAAACTATTTCAGTTTGTGTAGAACAGGACTATCAATGCTTTCTGAACATATGCAACACCGTTTGAAAAATACCGCGATAATACCGAAAACCGTGATAATTTTGGTCACAATAACCGTGAGGTTAAATTTTCATACCGTGACAACCCTAGTCATGTATAATCATTAGTTTAGAAAAATATAATTAAAATTCATTTTTATAAACTATATCCTTGACTCTGTGAGTTGATGTTTTTCAAGAATAGTCAAAAGAACCTAAAGGTAAGAACAGTCAGACTGATAATTCATATTTATTTGGAATATCACCTCTTATTGACAGTGTTGGGAGTAATGCGGTAGAAAAGTAATTAATTACTGTAATGCATTGCTTTTTGCTGTAATGTGCTAAGGCCTTACAGGGAAAGAAAATGGTAATATTTACTCGGTACAATTGTCAGTAACGCGGTAATTACAATGCATTTTTAAACCCAGAATCAAGTTGTGTTCCTTAAAATTTCAAATTGCGAGAAACCCAAAGAAAGATCCGGTATCTGCATATATTACGTCATTTATGGACTCAGCTTTGCGGGCAGAGAGGACGCCGAGGTAACGGCTCAGCTGCAGCTGCACGCGGCCGCTGTAACATTCACAAAATCGCTCCACTAAAACAAAATAATTCACTTGCGATTGTTCATATCAGCGCATATTCTCTGGTATTTTGAGCTTTTCTGACGTGCTTTGCCTCAGCTGAGTTCATAATCTGTGCCCCGGTGATTTCAACTCATTACTGCTGGAGCGCCGCGCATGTGAAGATCCCTTTGGCTGACAGAAAGTAGGAAGTCTAGGAAACAGTTTTTTCTGGAAGACGGAGAAAACATGCAGCATGCAGGAAGGTTAGAGAGAGAAAGGGCCGGAAATTATTCACATAAAACCAAGAGAAAAAAAGAAAAAAGTAGGTAGATTTATCCCCAATACACATTTTACCAGTGAAAAGCAATAATATATAAGCATTTAATATTTATACATGTGATAGAATCAGATCACCCCAGAAGTCAGTCCTACATCCAGGGCCGTATCAAGGCATTTGGGGACCAAGGCAAATAGGCTTAGAGCCCCCACCACCTCACTCCCTGATCAGTTAATATAAGATGGCAGCGTGCTGAGAGTACAGATTGTTGTTGCTTTTATTTAATAAACAATCATTTTATAGCACTGTTATTATATCTGACTGTTTTTAACAGCAATCCTAGCTCAGACACCACATCACCTTCCACACATATGTCATGAGCTCACTGAGCGTCACATGACCAGATTCATACTGAAGTTGTTTTGGTGAAAGTAACTTAAAGTAATGCAAAAGTAGTGTAATCCCTTACATTTTAAAATCAGTAATATTGTAATGTAATGAATTACTTTAAAATGAGGGTAACAAGTAATAAATAATGCATTACAGTTTTGAAGTAACTTGTCCAACACTGCTTATTGATAACTTAACTGAATATGTAGTGATATCCAAAACCACTACAACAGTCCAAAAAGCACACCTAGACAGAAACACGTGGTGCCACACGAGACAGAACTTTGCTTTTATACTGAAAAAAAAAGTGTTGTACATGTGTATTGCGTGATTCACACACTTGCTCAGCTTAGTGTGCTCAATAAAATAATCAGGTTAGGCAGTAAAATCGTCGGTCAGGAGCAGTAGTCACTTACCAGCACTACAACATTATATTTCTCAGGAAAGGCACACAGACCCGTCACATGCTCCACTCCTTTAATGCCCAGTACCATCAGGTCAGCAGATCTGGGCCCTCCCAGTGAAGACAAAATGTGCTTCCTCCAGCTTCCTTCTCTCTTCAATCCGCCTGTTAAATGGCACACCCCAGCAAAAACTGACTTTGACCACATTACGGTGAATCCAGATTGAACTAAAAACTATTTAATTATATTATTCTATTTAAAATTCCTTTTAAATTAAGTGTATGTAGGTGTGAGTATTATTTTAAGTTGACTGTATGTGTATGCATGTTTTGATGCTGTTTTTATGGGCTATGCGGACACTATCTGCGAACGAAGCTCCAAACGGATAAAGTGAATTTGATTTAATTTCATGTGATGTGTATTGTATTATAACGCCTCACATTGAAGGTATTAAACATGACACAAAGACAGACTGCTTTATTATATAGATATGCTTTTATTAGAAATAAGACACATTCATTTTGTGCTCTGAAAACTGTACATTAACAAAGAGGCGACCCTGGTAACATAAAAATGGTGGTGAGTCATGTGGGGGGTAACTTGAGCATTTTTGTGTTTGGTAAGGGCGGGGTACAAAACCGTGTTGGAGGAGCTCCTGGGTTAGGGTTTGAGAAATACAGATCTGAGGGATTGACTCAGTGGTGATATAAAAGCACACAGTTACATTGAGATACAGAACATTTGGAGTCCAGTACCTTGATGGGGGGGGGGGGGGGGGGGGGGCATAATAAAGGTTCATATCCATAATAACAACTATCCCCAAGCACAGTAAGAAAGATATTTATAGACTGAAATCCATTCTGTAGAACTCTGTTGAAATAATTACAATGCTGTACATCAGGACTCCAAGTGAGCCTTGTGCTTTCCTTCTGCTGGACCACATCCACCCTGCCGACTCATATGGGTCAGTGCCTCAAAGAGACACAGCGGGCAACTTGAAGTGTCTCTTATGAATCATTCAGATGAAAACCATAACAAACAGCTCCCTGAAAAGCCTCAGTTCAGAGAAATAGCATTTACTTCTAACAAGACATACAAAAAGTTAGTAAAAAAAAATTGCACAATATAGCAGTATCCATAGGCAGCGTACAAAAAATAACAAAAAAGGAACAAACAACAGAAAAGCTTAATAATAATAAAAAAATAAATAATAATTATGAAAAAATAATTAAAAAAAAGCAAAATAAGCAATACCCTTTTGTGTTGCTTATGTTATTTGTTTTATTCATGGTGTTTTGTCCTTGTACCTGTACAGTATTTTGGTCAGCCATTTTTCTGTGCTTTTAAATGTGTGGTATGGTATGGTATGGTATGGTATGGTATGGTATGGTATGATATGATATGGTATATATATAGGATGGCTTACCAGGCTGTAAAGTCACACAGGTCACTGTGAAATCCAGTAGGCTGGAGCTGTTTTAAGGTGACATGCACACCATCTGGTTTCTACTCGGACTAGTTCAAGTTCCAATTTATTTCTAAAACAATTTCCACAGGGCATAAGAGCCCACCAAAGTGCTATACGGAAAAAGATGCAATGAAAACAAGAGTAGTGAGGCTTCCTAAAATATTTTAAGGGTATGTAAAACAACAGAAAACACAAAGCTTAATATTAAAAAAAAAACAATATAAAACAACCTAAATTCATAGCAAAAACAAACAAAGAAAAATACACTCAAAGCACAGTCACTTCCAAAGTTAAAATTAGTTAAAGCCAGAATAAATCTTGAGGCAGAATAAGAGTCTTGAGGCAAACTTTAAAATTACACAGTGACAGAGACCAGCCACTCTATTTCTCTGAAGGAAAGCTCTTCAGGATAAGATGGGGAATATTTATAAGTTCAAACAATTCAAAAATTTCCCAAACCCCTCTGATGAACATATTTTATAGTCATTTATTCATTCTCCATGTTTTGGCAGTACCTGTTTAGTCAGTATCTGTGATCCAACAACACCTTAGCAGTTTGTGCCTGATCAACACGAACTGGAGCCAAGTATTTCTAGACTGTGGGTCAATTTTGATGCACCAGCATGATGACTTTAATGGTGGGGGAACTAATTAGAGCACAAAGCCGACACACGGCCCATCCTCACACCAACATCTCTGAGTTGTCCTTGCTTTGGTCCCCCTCCCCCCCACCACCAACACACAGAACCAACCAGGCCCCTGTCACCAGACAGAGCCAGAGGGAAAGCAGCAGTCTGTGTCAAACCTGTATTGACTTTTCAACACTGATGCCACAATAGAAACAAACTCTTGAGTTTTCTGGAGTTGCAATCACATGAGTGTTCATTAGGACATACAATAATGTAACAACAGTCTCCAGAATGAAAGAGAGAAAAAGACATATTCATGTTTCTCACATTGTAATTATTTAATACAGGGGTAAACATGTCACAGGGAGCTTGTTCATATATCGTATCTTAAGCTGGGCAGACACAATGCGACTTTTTCACTTGTAGCGCAACTTAAACTGTCTGACTCAGTGCTAACTTTTTTAATCAAACGTTCCCGGAACGCAAATACTGACGTCTATGGGGGAGTGACAACTAATTAAAAATTGTGCCCACATTTTCAAAGTCAACACACATTTCTTTTAACAATGGTGGTTTGGTACTTTTTGTATCTTTACTGTTCACATGCTTCAGTCCTCTCCCCCCTCACTGTGCAGTGGTTGCAATCTCACTGGTGTGCCTGAAGCCTCTCAGAGTTCTCTGCTGCTCTAAACATTCTGTTCCTCACTTCTGTGGCAATGATTACTGTCAATGGTGTCTGTTTGTTGAGACCACCAGATACAAAAACATGCTTGTTTTTTATTTGACTATTATTATGTCCTGTGTCTGTCTATTATCCTGCATCTCCTCTCAGTCCTAAAGAAAAACTACCTGGCTTCATATGTTTTCACCTGAAGAGTTACCTTCAGAGGCGGATTTAGCAATTTGGGGGCCCAAGGCGAACACAGACATGGGGCCCCTTACACTACATTTTCGACAATCTTACCTTTAACTGGATTTGCGAAACTCTCCCCACTTCTGACATGAGTTATTTTCCCTTTTTATTAGTCCTCCTCTTTTTTCCTGCATTTCTCTTCCTTTGGGTGCTTTATTCTTCCTGTCAGTGCTCCTGTGCTTTAGCCTTAGTTATTTTTTTTATTTTATTTTCCATTTTGGTCTATGTTTTCCTCTCTTTAAACATTTTCCATTGTCTTTCTTTTCTGCGTCCTTTTGATGTTTACATCGAGAAACGACGTCACTTTCAGAAGTGAAAATAAAAGCTTTTATGAAGCAAGCTGCTTCTTTCTCTTATTGGAGCCACTAGGATAACTCCATTTCGTGCTTCATGTTTTGACTATCGCTTTGAGTTTGTTACGAACGCTCCCGCCTCTCTTCTTCATATTTGTGGTCTTATGGCACTTGGCAAACAACAGTTTGGTGCATTATCGCCACCAACTGGATTGGAGTGGAATGACCAATCACTTCCTGTTTGTGCATCACTGTCTTAATAACCCTCTTATGACCATAATTATAACAGGGCCGCCTGGTATTTTTTTTAATCTTATGGCTGTAAAATTGTAATAAAAAGTACAAAGTGTGTGTAACTCATCTCCTTTTTTCAGAACAACCTCAGCTTTTAGTGTATGGTTTGTATTTAGAATTTATTTCTATTAAAGCCTTTAAAAAATCAGCTTAAAAGTAAAAAAGCAAAAAACGGATTAGAATTTTTTACATTTATTACTGAACAGGGACTTCAAAATTACTGGGCAAACAATTTAAACTTTGAACCATAATGCTTCTATTCTTAAAAAAATTTAAACCTTAGTATCTTTTTTCTAGCAGTTTTTAAGACCATTTATTTTTTGTAAACTTTCAGACGTTTTTATTTGATGTGGTAGACCTTGAAGCAGTTTCTCTCCAGCTGCAGGCAGAGTCCTGCACACCTCACACCGCCATGGGGTGCTTCTCTGGCACGCCGTGCACTGCTATACCAAAAACTTTTGTTTTAGCAAAAATAATTATTTATGGTAAAAAGATAAATAATGCTGGAATGAAGCTGAATCTTACAATTAGCAAATAGATGAGGGTTGTTCAAATAAAAAAATAAAGACTGAACAAACATTCATACCCTGGTTCACTGGAGATCTGTCCTTTCCTGGTCACTGTCTTCAGATATGAGCCTTCTGGGACACCTAAAAGATCGTGTTGATTTTCTTTGAGGCATTTCCATAATTTCATGCCAGCATTTTATGCTAATTAGCTTCCCCGTTCCGTTATCCGCTTTCACCGCGGCGCTGTGCTCCGTTTCAATCAGGCTGTACAGCAGGATATCCCCTCATAGCGATATTTTCAATAACTCTGATTGCTTCATGCTATAAGTCTTTGGAACGCTGCTTTTATGTACTTTTAGGAACTGTTAGAATTTTCTGAATCTGAACAGACATTCAAAACTTATAAAACGGAGCATTTTGGATGACAAACTCAGCACGTCTCTGAATCTGTGTTGTGATTTGTTGCATACAAGACAGGGGATCCCAGGGGCTTCCGTTATGTATTGTATATGCACGAAAAGCCCCATTTTTAACCTTTTCAGCACTTTTGGAATTTTAATGATATCTTGAACAGTTCAGGAATTATGGTAAGGAGAAGTGCACATGTCCAGTCCTGTCTGCGGCGACATGATGGTAATAAGAATATTGTGGCATTAACAGAGGGGTGCTGGCGGTCAGGACTAGGGCCCCCCCAACACAAGGGGGCCCCAGGCAGCCGCTGACCTATGCCTAATGTTAAAACCGCCTCTGGTTACCTTTGAACTGTGGTTCAAAAAGATCTAACTATCGCTAAAATAGCAGGCTGCGCGCCAGCCGCTACAATAAGGTGAAGTCACCGGAGGACAAACAGATGATGCGCTCTGCTCCACAGCAGCGAAACGCATCAGGCACAAATAAAAGACAGAAAGCATAAAAGGATATGAGCTGAAGTAAACAATCGCGTGTTTTCAATTTTTGAGGTGGCGACACTGAGGATGTTACTGTGGCTGTGCTCAGGATGCAGCTTTCTGGAGCGCATTTATGATCAGAGCTCTGCACCTCTCTGATCAAAATGATCCCTGGACAATCCACATAAATAATGTAATATAACCGGAACCAAGATTTGTTTTGGGGCTCCCCCTGGTTGTGTAAGTTGAGGGCTTCCAGGGCAGACAATCACCCTTTTGGGTGAGCCGGGCTCCCTTTAGCTCACCAGTAATTTGAACCCTGCGTAAAGCACAAGTTGGTCGCGTGAGTAGCCAGAACCTAGCAGACAGCTGACAGAATGGTCCTTTCAAAATAAGACAGTTCCCGGATCTTGCCCCAGCAAGATCAGGCTCAAATTAACCCCTGGTCTGACTTTCCTTCAGAGCAAATCTTACGAGTCATGTGCTCACACTGTATGTCTGGTAGAAACACATCAGACATAAAAATATGCTAAAAAAGGCATTTTTACACAACATGTTGGACTTTTTTGTGTCGTTATGGATGTCTGTTGATGTATGTTGTCCTGTACAGTTGTGCTGTAGGAGAACACACAGGGATTTATTGGGGTTGGAGTAGGAAAACGAAAAAAAGTAAATCAATGTTTTGTGATCTGTTTAATTTGACATAAACATGCTTTATTGACAGTCTTTGTAATTGTGTCCTTAAAAAAGTGTATAAATAAAAATGACTGATGTGTGTTAACAGGGAAATGGTTGGCGAGCCACTTTGATGCATGTTTGCGCATGTGCTGTGACCGGTTCTGGTACTGGGTTAGGGTTGCAGCCACTCGCAGCATCGCTTCAAAAGTGTGTGACAGGGTGAGCATCCTGTCACCGTATCCCAACTGATCATGCTCCCTGGCTACTTGGCCACTGCAATATCTCTTTAGCTGACTGGTTAGCATGTGTGACTCTCACCTGGGGGTCTGGTGATCGAATCACGTTTCACCACCTTGCTACATTTGGCGTTGTTGTCAGAATCCATGTAGTACTGTGAAATAGGTTAATGGATTTGAAGTTTGTGTACTCTGTGCAGGAGCACGGGGACATGAATGTGGAAAGAGGGGGGAATACATGACAGGGTAAGTATCCTGTCATTGTATCCCAATTGATCATGCGCTCTGGCTACTTGGCCTTCGGGGTTTCTCTATATGTGACTGGTTAGCACACTTGACTCTCATCCGGGAGTTTGGGGATCAAATCCTGCCTGGGCCTTCGTTTCTCTACCTTGCCACAATTGCGATACCCTCACAAGGAACGAGCAAAATATCAAACATATCAGAAATTTGTCTGAGCTCACAACTGCTGATCGGTAGATGGTCATGTGGTGTTAATTGCCTCTCGTTACCCCCTGTATACTACACGACGTTCAACGTAAAACTTGCTCCGATTTTGTAGATTATCACACGAGGACAAAATCTGCTCAAAAAAGTGAAAAAAGTCGCACAGTAGAGGCCCAGCTTTATGGAGCTCCATCATCTCGCCTAAAAAGCAAAAACATCAATTGAAACAAAATAAGGAGACACCACATTCTTATTCTCTAATGTTTGTTTGACCTTTAGAAAACTTTTCTTCTAACCCAAATACCCCCTCACATCCTCACATAAAACCTAATTTTGCACTGCAATGTGTGTGTGTGTGTGTGTGTGTGTGTGTGTGTGTGTGTGTGTGTGTGTGTGTGTGTGTGTGCGCGTGTGTGGTCCAATAGAAAGGGAGAAAACAGGTAAGTTTTGGGTGTGAGGCTGAAATTGGGTGGGTGGGGGGCTCACACCTCCGTCTGCAGGTCCATGATCTCCTGGCCCACCAAAGGAATTGTGGCACTAGTCTTCTCCCACTCCACAGTCTGCAGCTCCAATGGGGAAGCAGCTACTGTCTCCAGGTCCTTCCTCACCCAGGATGGGGGTGAATGAGTCTTGCGAATACCCTCCCACGCCCTCTTACTTGGAGTCTGCTGCTTGTCCTGATGGAGGGAATACAAGTTTGTCTTTAATACTTTCATATTTCTTTATTTTGCTGCTGCAACTTCACAGTCTGCATAAACCCTACAACTTCTCTAGAAGTACGTAGCTGCTGTTATGGCAGTTGTCTGAAACCAGGTACTCACTGGGCTGCAACTGCTGAACAGAAACTTCAGACATCAACATGAGCTTTTTTAAATGTTTTGAAGCATTCACAATGGATCTCAGTTTCATTGCATGTCCAAACACTTTGGTCTGGTGCCAATGTAAATTTGATGATGTTTGAGAAATTTGACCTCTCAAATTAGTGAGAACCAATATGTGAGACCAAATCAAATTTCTACATTAGGGACAAGGGTTTGAAAGCTGTGGAGCATCTTGCCCAAAATCACAATGAATGAATAATCTCTAACAAAATAATTGAAGAAATAATGACATTTCTCAGCTGGTCTGGTAACACCTGGCTTAAGTGGCTGGAGAGAGAAAAGTAGGGGGCTTTCTGCTTAGGCTGCTGCCCTGTGACTCGACCCCAGGTAAGTGGAGGAAAATGGCTTAATGAAGGAAAGAACTAATTAAACTAATTATATTATGATGAAATAAAATTGAAAGAAATAAATGAAAAAAAAATTATGTATTTTTATATTTTGCAGTATCAGACCTACAGAGACATGGGGTATGTGGGACAATCTTGGGAGGGACTGGAGACATAATAGGTAATTTCTGAAAAAAATAGTCCATTTAAAGGTAAAAGTCCCCTTAGTTGTCACACATGGGTGGAATTTGACCCATTCCCATGGGGAGCGGTGAGCTGCAGAAACAGATATGCTTCGGATACGTGGTTTGTTTGTGGGAAGCATTGGGTTCCATTTTAAAAGTATTTGGTATGACCCAACTGTGGATTTGAACCCATGATCTCCCAGTCTCAGGCTAGACACTCTACCAGTAGACCACTGAACTGGTAGTGACTAAATTTGTTTACAATTGCATTACATGCTTCACATCTCTCACATCACCCAAGGCAAAAAATAAATAATAATAATAATAATAATAATTCGAGAATAAAAAAAATGACAGATTTAAATTTCCACTACTTCAAAACTTCTTTTTATTTAAATGAATAAAAATGTTTATTTCAACTGTTCACTTGAATGTTTTTCTCCCCAGAAGAAGCTACAATTGTGTTGCTAAGCTGTGGTAGCCTCATGGAGGGGCCATCGGCTAGCACACTGCTGCTAACCACTTAAACATTCTCCCTCTCCTGATAATAACATTTTACTCTCTTTTACATGGAATGTGCTACTACTAGTTTACCTGTTGATATGCACCAGGTGTACCTTATACTGCCAACAATAAAAGGCCACCCAGGAATGTTCAGTTTTGTCTCACAGCAAAATGCCACAGATGCCACAAGCATTGAGGGAGTGTGCCATTGGCATGCTGACAGCAGGAATGTCAACCAGATCTGTTGCTCATGCACTGAATGTTCATTTCTCCACCATAAGCCATCTCCAAAGGCGTTTTAGAGAATATGGCAGTACATCCAACCAGCCTCACAACCGCAGACAACGTGTAGCCACACCAGCCCAGGACCTCCACATCCAGCAGGTTCACCTCCAAGATCGTCTGAGACCAGCCACTCAGACAGCTGATGAAACAATTGGTTTGCATAACCAAACAATTTCTGCACAAACTGTCAGAAACCGTCTCAGGGAAGCTCAACTGCATGCTCGTCGTTCTCATCGGGGTCTTGACCTGACTCCAGCTCGTTGCCATAACAGACTTGAGTGGGCAAATGCTCACATTCGATGGCGTCTGGCACGTTGGAGAGGTGTTCTCTTCATGGATCAATCTCGGTTTACATTGTTCAGGGCAGAAGGTAGACAGTGTGTGTGGTGTAGTGTGGGTGAGCACTTTGCTGATGTCAATGTTGTGGATCGAGTGGCCCGTGGTGGTGGTGGGGTTATGGTATGGGCAGGCATCTGTTATGGACGAAGAACACAGGTGCATTTTATTGATGGCATTTTGAATGCACAGAGATACCGTGATGAGATCCTGAGGCCCATTGTTGTGCCGTACATCCATGAACATCACCTCATGTTTCAGCAAGATAATGCACGGCCCCATGTTGCAAGGATCTGTACACAATTCTTGGAAGCTGAAAATGTCCCAGTTCTTGCATGGCCAGCATACTCACCGGACATGTCACCCGTTGAGCATGTTTGGGATGTGCTTGACTGGCGTATACGACAGCGTGTACCAGCTCCCACTAATATCCAACAACTTTGCACAGCCACTGAAGAGGAGTGGACCAACATTCCACAGGCCACAATTGACAATCTGATAAACACTATGTGAAGAAGATGCGTTGCACTACATGAGGCAAATGGTGGTCACACCAGTTCTGAGTCCCCAGACCCCCAATAAAGCTGTAACGTGATGAAGGAGCTATTTTGACCAAGGTAATTCAATCTTTTCTACAGTCCCTGTGACGCAGTGCCAGAGCGCATGAAACAGCCTCAAGGTCATGCATTCACTTCTAAACTGTTTACATTCCAGCGATGAAGACAGAAGATGAAGACTGCTTTCTTTTCTTTTATTAAAAGCCAAAGAACTCTATTCTCAATAAAAGCTAATCAAAACAACTGTTAGTCAATAATAACAATGTGACCGATCGGTGAAATCACAATATTATGATTAATATGTTTTTAATAAGTAAATGACCTATTCTAGCCACTAGACACGCTGATACACTAAGGTAAATAATCACATGTTACATTGCTGTCACTGATCCAATCAGAACCTTCATGTCTGAAGCGTGGCAGAGTCTCTGTGGTGTTTATTTAATTGTCAAGTGATTATTTAAAACTGCACATTCCAGGGTGGCCTTTTATTGTGGGCAGTATAAGGTACACCTGTGCACTACTCATGATGTCAGATCAGCATCTTGATGTGGCACACCTGTGAGGTGGGATGGATTATCTCAGCAAAGCACAGGTGCTCACTATCACACATTTAGACTGATTTGTGAACAATGTTTGAGAGAAATGGTGATATTGTGTATCTGGAATTAATTTTAGATCTTTAAGTCCATCTCATGAAAAAACGGAGCAGAAACAAAGGTGTTGCGTTTACATTTTTGTTGAGTGTAATTAGATTCACTAGGATAAATACAATAAAGTTTATCTCTTATTAGTAGAATATTTACTTAGAAATCACAATGTAACCATAAAAACACTACTTGGTATATATGTTGTATGTGTGGATGTGGGTGTGTGGGTGGGTTGGTGTGTGTGTGTGTGTGTTTGTCTGCTCTGTATTTTCGATCCCCAGTGAGTTGTGGCGGATGGCTGCTTATAATGAGCCAGGATCTTCTGGATGTTTCTTCCTGTTAAAAGGGAGTTTTCCTCCCAATTGTCGCTAAATGCACGCTTAGTATAAGGATTGCTGTAAAGACTGACACTAGTCAGTGACTTGATGCAATTTGTGTGAGTTCCTTATATAGCAAACATTTTTCTTATTGGCTTAATGAACGGACCTGCATTGGAATGTTTACTATGAGAAGGTACTTGAGACGACTCGCGTCGTGATTTGGCGCTATATAAATAAACTTGAATCGAATTGAATTGAAATGACCACTACCTGGTGGTGAGTTGAATTGAATTGAATTCTTTATTGTCATTATGCATACACATAACAAAATCTGGTTAGTAGCTCTCAGCTTAAAGGGCACTGACCACAAATAGAATGATAAAATTATGAATTCAATTCAATTCAAATTCAAAGATACTTTATTAATCCCAGAGGGTTAATCAGAGAATCAGAGTTTCAGTTCACACAATTCAGAGATCAGACATACATAGGCAAAGACACATGACAAGAATTGGTGACTGTGGTCATTCGCAACCCTGAGTCGTGCAACCTTAATAGAGATCAGAGGGTTACATGAGGACTGGTTTGGGTGGAGGAAAAAAAAGGCACTTCAGAGTTACCCTTCACAGGGAGGGCAGCTTTACTATGCAAAAAAACAAAACAAAAAAAAACACCTCAGACAGAGATGCAACAGACTTCAGACATCACACAACATAAGTGTCCACTAGGTGGGGTGGTGGGTTTGGGACTCTCCACACATCAGTTCCTGCAGCCACGATAAGCAGCGCACGTCACCTCAGTCTAGACAGGGGAAGGAGGTTGTTGAGTTTTGGAGGGCACAGTGAGTCCTGGAAAGATTCAGCGGCCTTCACAGCCCACAGTCCCGTCCAGGCTGGGATAGGAGACAGAGTTGCCATAGCGATGGCAGCATTCCACATTTCTTCTGAGGGGGGAGTATCCGTTACAGCCTTACAGGCTCAAGGGCACCAGATTCAGATTAGAAATTGTTTTGGGGCCGGACAGAGATAATTTCCTCTCTGTCTTAAAGTTCTGTTGGTCCTAAAACTCTCAAAATCCCAATAATGGCATAAATAAATCAATCCCAATCCATGCTGATTCGTCCACACGCTCCTTGATGGCATCCATCTTTTGTGCCATTGCATGAATGTCAGCCAACGTTCCAAGCTTACGATTCATCTCGACAATTATGTGAGTCTGTGAATTCACAGCGAGGTGTAATCCATCCCTGAGCTCGGGGAGAGCGCCAATATTCCTCGACAGCTCGTTAATTTTCCGGTAAGCCAGGAAGCCTTCTAGGCCAAAGAGCAGGGAACCTGACACCAACACCACAAATATCCAGACGTCTTCAGAATCCTCTACAGACAGCTGCGAGAGGCAGATCAGGTTCCACTGTTTCCAGGAGTCCATGATATGACCAGCTGGGTCTGTCCCAGAGGGGCATCCGGAAGCCCCTTCTCTCGTTCTCATCGTTGAAAAAATTTTTATCAATCACGCTGAGTGACCAGCTGACGAGATCCATTTTCAATAATTTCTAGTTTTCAGAAAAAATGCAGAAGCAGCCGTGCACCCAAGGACAGACAAAAAGCCTTGGGGATAAGATAGGGAGGAGAGG